TATAGATAATTGAGCTTAGAGTATATAACACACATAATATAAATCCTAAACTAAATTACCCAAGCAATCTTGATCTTCAATAAGCTTGACTTGGTACACATTGCGGATGAAGCTAAACTTGGATCTTGAACTTGAATTGTACGATACTTCACTCCACAATTTCGCCAACCTCCATTTGATATGATCGTTATGGCGCAATCCATCCATCCTCCAACTACGTTGTTTGTCTACAATAAATAGAAATGCACAAACACTAGACAAACAACATTAGTAGTAAATTGTTTGTAAATCATCATCAAAACAAGAAGGCCAACAGTATTGAGAAGCAGTTTATACTCGTATACTCTTCGGAGTGTTGCCGTTCTTATTTGGCTTATCCTAGTGTTATGACGCCGGCTTCAACCAAGGTTTGGATGCTATTCTTTAAAGTAAAGCAAGCCTTGGTGGGATGAAGGATCCTCCTGTGGTACGCGCAGTACTTCGGATCTGCAGTATTGTCAGCTTTCTCCTGATTTGTGATGGGCGGCAGCTTGATCTTGTTGTTTTCAAGAAGGGTCTCGAAGATGGCTGGAACGTCTTCGTCTTTGAATGAATACTTTTTTTGGAGCCTTGGATCCGAATTCTTCTGTTGTCTTCGGAGCTGTTGTTGTGACGTTTGATTAACGTCAATAACTATTGTGGGTGCCTTCCCTTCATCATGGGACACGAGACTCGAATTCAGAGGGTTAACAATTGGTTGGTTTCTCTCGACCTTCCTCCTTCTGAGGAAGCGTTCGGCCTGTTCTCCGCGCACCTTCAACTCTCTCCAGGTATTGAGCGGCTCTACTCCCATAACGTCCAAGATGTTAATGGACAAGTTGTTATGACAGGTTTGCAAGATGAATTCCTCTTTGACGGGATCCTTGCAGTTCATTGCCTGATTGCGGAAGCGTTTGATGAAGGTATCCACCGACTCTCCGTCTTTTTGTTTCTCATCGAAGAGTGTCCTGACCGACACTTCGGTGTCATCATCGAAGAAATGAGCGAGGAACATGCTTTCCAGGTCCTCCCAGCTGTTGATGCTTCCGGGCTTGAGACGGCGGTACCAATCGAAGGCAGGCCCGCGAAGGGTGCCAACAAATGACCGGACCGTCAGAGGCTCGTTGCCAGAGATCTCACCCAAATAGGACTTGAAATAGATCAGGTGCTGAGTGGGGGAACCTTTCCCGTCAAACGGTGTGAAGTTGATCAGGTTGAATTTCGTCGGATACGGGATCGAATCCCACTCTTTCGGGTAAGGACACGGAATGCCGGTCTTCTTCACCTCTCGAGCAGACATCAGAGCGTCAATTTTTCTTTCGAGATCCTTCATCTTTTCGGCCTCATCTATATCCTGTTTTGGATAATTTTTGAGAGGAATAATACGAATACCGAGACCCTCTGCGAAGCGGTCTTGGGGCAGCTACACGCTGACAATACTGCCCGGATAATTTTGGTACACGGACAGTGAGAGTCCGCTTCCCAGGTACTTCTCTTTCGAGATTTATTCGTACCCCAAGCTCGATAGTACAACTCATCGACATTGCGATCGGAGTAACCTATCGGCTGCTCACATGGATTCTCAGGTATAACGCGTTCGTCTGTCTGACGTGTTTTCCTATGAGTAAACATTGCCTTGTTGGCGTCTGCAAGAGTCGCATGTTTGGAATCACACCTTTGTGAGGGTGAAACCTTAACGGGCTCCTGATTTTTTGCACGCACCGCCAAGCGGGCCGTTGCAGAAATCCCTTTGTTAGGAGGTCGCGTACGACCCCCAGTCCGGATGTTGGCTCGAAGCTCCTTCAACGATCTCCAGCTTTCCTTAACAAGCGTTTTTCCTCGATTCTCGGGTAGGGCACCGATACGATCTTTCAGAGGAATCCTAAACTTGGGGAAATCCGCGCTGCGGTAGGGCTTTATCGGAGGTTCGGGATCTGAAGTTGACGAAGGCCGGAGAGCAACGTCGCCTGCTTTTGCCTTAGGCGCTGATTTGGCTTTTGGCACCCAAACTTGTCTGCGCTTAGGCGGCTTCTCCACTGCTTCTCCCCTCTGCATTTCTTTCGCTTTCTGCAAAAGGGCTCTCCTCGAGAGTAGACCGGGTTCTTTGGACACGAACCCATCCGTTAATTGGAGATCAAGAGGAGGATTCCGATGCTGGTCGTGGCGACAGATTAGCCACTTGGCGCTTTCTGAGCTACAGATCTGCTTGGTAATGGAGACCATCCATCTGATTCAAAGCCTTGGCGAATTGGCGCGCGAGGCGTTGTCGTTTCCTTTGACGTGCTCTCTTTGATAGAGTTGGCGCGCCTTCAGCAGTCGACTCCTTAATCATGAAGGAGTTCAGATCTGCAAATTTGGCTTCATTGAACGCCGGTGGATCATTGCAAGGTGCAACAGCAACAGCGGCGGAGAGATCATCTTCTTGGATCTTCAGATCTGAAGACCAGCAGATCTTTCTGGAGGAGGAGGCACTCTTGCACTTGCCAGGGGCTTTACCGGAGGTTCGGGATCTGAAGTTGACGAAGGCCGGAGAGCAATGTCGCCTGCTTTTGCCTTAGGCGCTGATTTGGCTTTTGGCACCCAAACTTGTTTGGATCTCGGCGATCTCTTAACTGTCTCTTCATCTTGCATTTCTTGTGCTTTTCGCACAAGGGTCCGGGCATGCGCAAGCAAGGTGTGGCGCTTCTGGATTCGCTCCTCGAGAGTAGAACGGGTTCTTTGGACACGAACCCATCCGTTAATTGGAGATCGAGAGGAGGATTCCGATGCTGGTCGTGGCGACAGATTAGCCACTTGGCGCTTTCTGAGCTCCAGATCTGCTTGGTAATGGAGACCATCCATCTGATCCAAAGCCTTGGCGAATTGGCGCGCGAGGCGTTGTCGTTTCCTTTGACGTGCTCTCTTTGATAGAGTTGGTGCGCCTTCAGCAGTCGACTCCTTAATCGTGAAGGAGTTCAGATCTGCAAATTTGGCTTCATTGAGCGCCGGTGGATCATTGCAAGGTGCCACAGCAACTTCATTGAACGCCGGTGGATCATTGCAAGGTGCAACAGCAACAGCGGCGGAGAGATCGTCTTCTTGGATCTTCAGATCTGAAGACCAGCAGATCTTTCTGGAGGAGGAGGCACTCCTGCGCTTGCCAGGAGAGGCGGATCTGGAGGAGGAGGAGGAGACGTACTCCTCGAACTTTTACTGGTCGAATTCATATTCGACCTCTTCGAGCACCGGGATCTTGATCGTCGGCTGCGGCACGACAGCTCCGGAAGCGAAGCTGTTGGCTCCCACTGTGGTCGCCAGTTTGTTTGCGGAAAAAGTTGCTATTTCCATTGTTATCGAATCTATTATAACTTTAGTCGTTACAATAAACTCGAATGAAATAATCTGATTGCTGAAAAATTGGGCAGAGCTTCGTCGATCCGCGAGGAGATCTAGAAACTTGAAGCGCCTATCTCGGATAAAGCGAGATATTTGCTCTTCTTAGTATTAACACAACGTGATAATACTAAGGATCGGGTACGGGTGATGTAGATCTGACGAAAAAACTCTCTTGCGTTGAAGTGCTCGATCACTCTTCACTCCGGCAGGGCTTCGCCTCTTTTCCAAAATTCCAGATCTGAAAAAATGAGGCCTAAGGTTTGTATTTATAGGCATGAGGGATAACGGAGCGGTTAAAACGGACTACAGGGCCCAAATCCGCGTTGGGACACCCCTGGGGTGTCTCGGAAAATCCGAGACCCCCTTGGGGTGTCTCGGAAAATCCGAGACACCCTTGGGGTGTCTCAGAAAATCCAAGACACCCCTGGGGTGTCTCGCATTGACCGAGACGCTCCGTTGAGGTGTATTCGTCCGCTTCCGCTGTAAATTCTTCGTCCGAACTCGGATTTTAGTGATTCGAAGTGCGTTGGAAGTCTGACGAAGAGTTCTATCAGCTCCGATGGTTGGATTATCTGTAGGATGAACGAGACACGAAGGACGTTGTTCCTTTTGTAAACATCGCGAGGCTCTCGATTAGCCCGTGCCTTCGTAGTTCGTCGATTCACTTCAATCGTTCATCGACATCAATCGAACTCATGTGGATCGGATAGTGACGTTCATCGTCGTTCTTTAACACTGAGCTGTTCGTGGAGACCTATGGGCAATTTTCGATGCCTACAGGAATATATCAAAAAAAATTGGATTTAAGATAAGGTTAGCATTCTCTTCTCTATTTCCTATTAATCCTACTTCTGTCATGGGATTCTGATATTAAATTAGATCCGATTCTAGATAGAAAAAACCTACGGCATGCTTTTGATAAGAGCAAAAACCATCCATCAAACAAAGAGATTCATAAAACATCATGTTTGTATGGCAAAGATTTGGAAACAAAGTCAATATTGCAAAATCAACATACCTATTAGTAGCTTGGGATCCCCAATCGGTTGAAATCCCTAATCGGCTTGAGAACCCCAATCGGCTGAAACCCCCAATTGCTTGAGATCCCCAATTGGTTGAAAATTCCTCTCTTCTTCTTGCTTGCAGAAGCCCCTCAAATATTATTCCTATTAATAGCTCTCTCAGGTGAAAAAGTAGAGAGAAGGAAACGCTTATTTTCTTCCCAATTTCGCTGCAACGATTTCCCTAATTCCGCTGCGAGAAGCGGAACTGGAAAAATTCCGACGCCTACCCTCGTGTGAGAAGGCGGAACAAGCCCTATTCCGCCTATTTACGTGGGATAGTTATCCCCTCTTATGACGGGATAAATTCGCAAAGTGCGTCACGTGCGGGATTGTTAACTCTTCTCTTTTTTTTCCTGTTTGGCAGGCTAATGAAGGGTTAAACCCACTTAACCCTCCATTTATCCCCTTGCCAAACACTGCCTAAATTATCTTCGACATGGATTGAAAAGGCAACAAATGTTATGTAATTGAAAAAAAAAATACATTTGCATGATAACTGTATACATGAGTAAATACTCATGCTTACAAAATACACTGCACTCAGAACAAAAATATCTCAGCAAATACATTAGGTTAATAAACTAGCAACATATCAATATTTTTTCATAAATCACACTTAGCATCACTAATACAACGTTACAAAACAAGGATTACTCGCATTAAATTTCCTTGGACACCTCTCAAAAATCCAAGGCCTTCAAAACTCTCTCAAAAGAATAAATCTAATCAACATTTTCTTTTCTTTTTTTTTTTCTTCTTTTGGTCAAAATTTATCATCCATCCAGTCCAAAACTATACTATCCAAACTAGGAATCTCATCAGCATCCTTAAACCCCCAAAACCCAAAATCCAAACCCGCCAAGTCGTCAAACTCCCCATCTGCCATACAACTGCATAATAAACCCTCCGTTATCGGATCGTCCTCCGCTTTCGTACCCGGATCCGGTTCATCCAAAACCGATATAGGAGAACTATGAGAAAATTTAATATTTTCGACGCCCTCGTTACTCTCGATGGCTATTTTTTCCTCCTGTATTTGCCTCGCTGCTTCTCTGTACGCCTCTGCAGCCTCCTCGGCGGTATTGTACGTACCGAGCCATCGACGGGCTTTCCTTATCGGGTCGCGGATCTCCGCGGCCCATTTACCCCATGCCCTCCGCCTTACCCCCTTATACAATGAGCTCCTCTTGGGCCTCGACGGCGCCTTAGTGGGCCTCAACTGGGCTACAACTCTCTTCGCTTTATTGGGTCTTGGTGCGTTTTTGAAGGGCTTGGGCCATGATATGCTGAATTCAACAACGGCCCGTTTTCGCTTCGTTTTCTCAATTTCCACGGGTTTTTTCTCTTCCTCTTCCTCTTCTTCATCACCCGACGATTCAGTTAAGTCTGGATCATCGAAAATGACTCGGATTCTTCGGACTTGTTGTTGAGGGCTTGGTTTCTTCTCTTTCTTCTTCCTAGTTGAATTCGACATTGCTTCTTGATCCTGAAAATGTGAGAAAAATAACAAGAAATTAGGCCAAATTAAGAAGCTTCAAATCATGGGTATTGCTTAAAAAACGGAGAATGAGCCCATTTACCTTGTAGACTGCAAGCGCATTGAATCAGAGAGAAGAATCACCCAAGCCAATAATGGGTAGAAATGCAAATTACTTTACTCCGAGCCCAACTCTGCAAATGCAAGAAATTAAGAAAAATAAGGACGAATTGACAAAAAAGAGGTCGAAAAAAAATCTGGGTTTCGCTACAAAACAGAGATCGAATCCATCACCTCGAAGAAAAGCTATAAATCAAAATACTTTATTTTTCAATACTTTTCTTTGTTCTTTCGGTTTCTAAAACCCAAAGCTAAGAGCTTTGAAAGAGATAAGGGTTTTAGAGAGAGAGAGAGAGGGACGTCAAGATCGAAAATCAATGGTTAGATTTGGCTTGGATTGGTATCACGAACTTTGTCTTTTTTCCTCGCTCCAATGGGGACCAAAGTCTTATTTTGAAAAACAAAATCACACAGCAAAAAGTACAACAAAATAACCAGAGAAGACAAAGACGCAAATCTCCGTATGCAAATAAATAATTACAAAAAAAAAACATAAAGAAAGGAAAAGGTGAAAAATATCTCTTACCAATTTCTTACCTTGCGCTCATATTGATTTTTTTTTTAATGAAGAGAGAGAGGGGGGGGGGGGGGGGGGGGGGGGTTTGAGCGAGTTTTTTCTCTGTGGGGATTTATAAAAAGATATTTTTTGGGGGCAAAATTTGGTAAAAATATGGTTGTGGGTTCATATAGGGATTTGATAAGCAAAAATAGAATATTAAAGGATTTAATGGAAAAGTGTTGGTTTGTTGGAATTTAAAATCTGAATCCGTATCTATTTGTTTTGCCAAAAAATATCTGATAAATGAACATATGCTCCATTTACCCTCACTTTTACGCACACGAGAAGAGGGAAGGGGCGAAATTCAAACTATGGAAGTGGATTTTCCTGCTTTTTTGTTTTCTCTTTTCTTTTTCATTTTGATTTTTTAATATTTTTTTGTCTGATTAACAATAAATTACTTCTATTACTTCATACGTAGCCAAAATACATTTTCATATTGTTATAATTTGTAAGACCATTACTTTTCAGCGGTTCATTTTTCTTAGTACATGTTTAGGTTTACCGAATGTTTTTAGATATATACGTGACTTCAGCAATTTGGAAAGAACTTCTCTGGCACCCGTTAAAATTAATTATTCTGCCAGCTCAGTGCCAGATGAAGTCCACCAAAATTTGTGACTTTGGTCCTAAAAGAAAAATCGAGCGAAAGGAAAGAATTCTATGTAATAAAAGGTTGTTTATGAAAAGTAATTAATTTTTAGTTGGTAGGTTTTTTTTAGAACAAATTTTCAAAACAGCATCAAATCAGTTTTTATTTTTCAAAACTGACCCACTTTTTTTAACCAAAATCGACTCATTTTTTGCCACATCAGCTTAATTCCATTCCTAAACAGTCGGGGTTGGCAACCCGGACTGTTTAGGAGGTTGTTAAACCCTAATTTTTATTCTTAAATCCGATTTTTATGCCCTAAATAGTCAGGGTTGGCAACCCCGACTAATTAGGAAATGAGATTAAGCTGACATGGCAAAAAGTAGGTCGATTTTGGTATAAAAAAAATGGGTCGGTTTTGAAAATTAGAAACTGGTTTAAGGCTGTTTTGAAAATTTATTCTTATTTTTATGATCATTGTGGTGAAAGTCCAAAGAGGTACTTTTACGGTTCTACCTACTTGAAAAAAAAAAGATATTCTAAACAGAATCCTTATAGACTCTATTGTTATTTCTATCAGGCTACAGATTATATGATAATGTTAGTATTTTTTTTTTTTTCCAAACCAGCAAAAAGTTCGTCTGTGTCTAGTAATGTTTGTTTCCGCAAAAGGTCGTACATAATAAGTACTAAATTTTATTAAAACTTAAGAGAAAACACCACCGGTGCCATCGCAAATTAATTGTTCTCCCAACTCAATGCAAGATAAATTTCAAGTAACCTTGCCTTTGGGTTTGAGAGGGAAGCCAGTCAGAACTCGATGATTATCTATAGTAAGTTAAATGGAAGGTAATAACTAGCTAATAGTAGCTATTTAATAGTTGATTGAATTTTTGTTTTATAAAAGGTTTTGGCTAAACGGTCAAAGGGAGTATTTCTAGCTCCAACCGAAATAAAATACTCTACAATGTGAATGTGATGATCCCTGATAAATTTTAATAACTATTATTGACAAACGTTAAATAAATAAGAGAAAATGAAACATACTTTCAAGTATATATATAATGAAACGTACATGTTTTGAAATAATCCATCACTCTATTGTTCTTGTATAAGTACTTAGCAAAAGCATGATGTGGTTTATAGGCGAAAGAACAACACATTTGATTGGATCATCTAGCTACCTTTGTTCTATAAATCTTAAATAAAGACTCGAAAACTTGGACCTCTCCACGGATGAACAAGTTTGGCAGTGGCACCCAATCCTCAGAAGAGGTGTTACCACGGATGAACAGATCAGAGAGGTCCTTGACCTGCATTCTAGTATTGGCTCCTTTGAATGTAGTACCTCTCCAAACTTGGACTCACTATGGTGGCCTCTCATTGCTACAGGAAAATTTACGGTAAAATCTCTTTATTCATCCATCATCTCAAGAGGGTGTTTATCTAGATTCTATAAGTTTGTTTGGAAATCCCCCATCCCTCTGAAGGTGAAAGTCTTCTTTTGGCTTGTAAGTAACAACAAGCTTAATTCAAGGGCTAACTTAGTCTCTAAGGGATGGAAAGGCGATCCAAGGTGCCCTTTCTACAATCTTGAAGTGGAGAGTCAGGATCATTTATTCATTACTTGTCCCTTTGCTTCTTCCATCTGGACTATACTCTTTCCAAGTTTTGGTATTGCTTCTTTGCCGCATAACATGCATGATTTGATTCTCTTCAAAGCACCAGTAGCTGATGGCATTCATATTAGTTGCATTTGGAAAGTGGTTCTCCCATGCCTTTGTTGGTGGATTTGGAATAGCCGCAATAATCTTATCTTTAAGGATTCTCAGCAAAATCCAGAACTGGTAGCGGCTAATGTGGCTAGGTATACCCTTCATTGGACAGGTGCATATGAAGATAAGCTGGCTAAAAGGATCAGAAGGGCAGCAATCAAGCTGCAGTTTGATGAAATTGTAAGGAAAAAAGCTGCAGCAGATGTGAGAGATAACTTTGCTGCAGATTAGAAGCCCAGGCAAGAATTAAGTAGTAGCTAGAGGCTTTTTGAGAATCTTCTCTCTAGAGGAGCAGCCTCCTCCTTACTTTTAAGGTACAAAACCATATTAAGTATCTTAAGACAATCTGATGTGATATCTTTGTTGTTACTAGCTTATGCTGGTGTTTCTTCTGTTTTTTTTTTTTTTGGTCTTCTATCGCTCTTGTTTCAACAGTCCTCTGGCCTCCTTTTGGGTGTGCTAAGTAATGTTTCATATATGTATGATCTTTGATATAAATAAAGTTATATGAGCAGGAAGTTTATTCCTGCTTTTTCAGTTCAAAAAAAAAAAATAAAGACTCGAAAACTATTTACCGCAAAGTTTAACCTATTAGATGTTCAAAAATTATATCCAATGTAAATTTATGTTCACACATGATTTTTCTAAATCAAGATATCCATTAAGGTCGTGGGTGTAGATGATCCTATGTGGTCAAAGGGCGTATATTTATTTTTCTTGATTATTGCAAGGATGACATAGCACAAGCTATTGAGAAATGATTTATGAAGGCCGTCTCATATTAGTGCTTAAACAACATGGCTTGATTGCACATATCCCCCTTAGTATCTTTGTTTCGCACATGGACTTCCTGTAATTTCAGTTTGGCAAATAGATTTTTTTTTTTTTTTTTTTTTTTTTTTTTTTTTAAAAGGGGGTTATGTTTTTTTTTTTTTTTTTTTTTTTTTTTTTTTGCATACAGTGAGTCTATTTAAGGGCAAATGAGTAAACATTTTTCACTTAGTGTTTATCTGCTAAAATGAAACTACCTGTGTGCTGAATTTAAAACAACAACGATATTGGGGATCTATATGCAGTTAACCCTAACTAACGACTTCTACATTCCTAATGGACTAGTGGAAGATCAAGAAGAAGAATTCAAAAAAAAACCCGGTTATCAGGGAAGTCTGATTTCAAGCAAAGACGTTTAGTCATTTAGGTCCGTGAGGTCTATCCGATTCTTATCTATTCCTCTATGATAACTAGATGACCCAAATATTATTATTCATGCTATAGTAATTTACTATAATATTTATTATTACATCATTTTCAAAGAAATATCACTGTAGCATAAACGAGTTACTAGAGCATCATTAAAAAATTTACTGTAACATTTTGAAATATATTACTATAGCATAGGTAGGATACTGTAGCATTTAAAAATAAATTACCGTAACGTTTTAAAAAATATATTGCGGCAATTAAAAACGGGATTACTGTAGTGATAAAAAAAGGAAAAGTCGTGCTTCGCACGTGGTGCACACTAGTTTGAAGTAAAGATTCGATCAAAATACTACATACAAAAAGAGTGATCTATACCATTCAGATGAGGTTAGATGATTAGTTTGAAAACTGTAGCTTTTTTATTTATGGTGTAGACCACTTCACTCTCATAGGAATGGTTCTAATAAAATTCATGCTGAATTATTTGTATCTACTTACTAAACACGTGCATATACATAAGAACGGGTATAATTAAAAGAAACACGTATCCATCAGAATCGAATGAAACAATATTTCGCAAATGGCACTTTATCAACATGTCTGATGCACGAAAAACAATTTCTATCTTAGCAATAAGGATAATTGGATTTCTTAATCCATATTCCGGATGTTTTATTTATAATCTCATCAATGTATTTTCCTATCAAAAGCAACAAAAAAAAAACAATATTGATTTGTATTCCTAGCAAAAAAAAACAATATTGATTTGTATTCCTAGCAAAAAAAAAACAATATTGATTTGTATTCCTATCTTATAGAAAATGGATATTTCACAAATTTATGCATATAAGATCGGATACGGATGCATATATTTTTTGTGGATATTCATAGCCATTTACACCAGCAGAAAGGCAAACTACTGATTATCTAGCTCCAACATAACTAATTATAAAAATATCATCATCAAGAGACACTTCAAGCTCAAATGTAGCATAAAAGCAGAAAGATGGCTTAGCAATAATTGTGGATGCCAAATACATAAAAATTTTATACAATGTACACACAGAATGCTTACAAAAGGGGGAAAATGATAAGTTTACTTACCTTGGTTTTTGGAGCCAAACATTTAGGGCATGTTTGGATTCGTAGGGGGTGAAAGGAAGTTAAGGGAAACTAAGTGAAGGGAAGGGAAGGGAAGGGAATTCCCTTCCCCTTGGTTACACCCCAATTTGGGGGTAACAATTTTTATACTATTAGGGGGTGAACCAAGGTGAATGGATGTGAATTAACTTCACCTCCTAAGTGTTCCCAAA